AGAATCTTTCCATATCCAGTGTGAACACCAATTCAAGTAAAGAATCCTACTAATGAATGTAATTATATATGATTAGGTTGGTTTTCCTTGATTTAGGAGATTATGTATTAATTGGGCTCATCTTAGCCATTGATGTAAATAAATCTAGACCATTGATTTAGAGGGAGCTTAATTATAAATAGAGAGTCTCCCCTCCTCATTTGTAACATCTCATTCCATTCATTCTCTTGGGAGAGTTATATATATATATATATTATTTCTTACAATGTTTGTTATTCATTTATCATTTAAATTTACTCTACCTCTTTTGTGCTTTATTCCTAAGTCTCTTTGTGTTGTTACCTCTCTTGGTGGCTAGGAGTAGCCACACTTGTGTTTGCACTTCCACACTATAGTCCAACCTTGGTGGCTTGGAGTAGGCACGTTGGTGTGAAAGTTTATGCATCCTAGAAGCCTTGAGGGCTTGGTTCCAACCTTGGTGAGTTTGCATGCTCACTAGGCTTGGGTAAGGCTTACTTAGTCGTAGAGAAGACCTAGAAGTGTCAAGAAGCATCTAAGGTTGCACGTCCCGTCAGACCTTAACTCTGATATTGCAACAGTTTAGGCTTGAAGGTTTTGAGGTATTGACAAGTGGTATCAGAGCGAGTTATTATGAGGAGACAACGATCATTTTGTACGTGTTTGGTGGAAATGGTAAACTAAGTAAGTTTGATTTACTTACTGTATTGTCAATTTACTTTGGTAGTTAAGTTGACAAGGATTTACGCTCGAGCTAGTTAGGGGTGATTAAGCTAGTTCTTGGCAAAGGAGTTCGAGATGGAAAAAGTAAGAGTTGGAACTTTAAGAGCGTCGATAACTTTGGTAGAGGAAAGGGTTACTAGGTTGGAGGAGTTAGAAAGCCAGACCCAGAAATAGGTGCATGAGCTACTCAATGAGTTAAGTGGAAAAACTTTCAAACATGTGATGGATAAGCTGGACAATAGGTTAGAAATCTTAACTTGGTTGGAGAAAGTGGTCAATAGACTTGAGAGATCCGTGGAGTGAACCAAGGAGACCCAGGGTGTTGTGGAGTCCCGACATGATAAATTGGAGTCCATGGAGGACATGTTCAAGGATGAGACGCACCAAGTTCTCAATGAGTTAGAGATAGTTCGAGGGAGTAATGCCCATGAAGCCGAGGTGATGGCTTTGAGAAATGAGGTGGATGAGATCAAGGGTGAGTTTCTCATATACAAGGGTGCAATGAGTGAATGGGGTGCGCTCAAGACCTTCTTCGAAAGAGTTAGAGTAGGGGTGATGGAGCTAGGTGATGCCCAGAGACTTTCGAAGGCCATAGTTGTAGAGCTTACGGGGGATAAACTAACCAACATAGAGTCATCCAGGCCCACACCGAGGGAATGTGTCAATGGTAAGGGAGATCAGAGAAAGGTGTAATAGGAAGATAGGGAAAATCTCTTTGAATAGTCAAGGTGGGCTATCGATTGTTCGTAGCCAAGGAAAGCCATCAAAAGGGAATAACAAGGTTGAGTCCGTGGTGGAGAAGAAGGCGAGAAAAAAGGAGATCAAGTGTTACTTCTGTGATAGTCTCCATGCGATAAGGGGATTTTTCAAGAAGAATCGACTAGCTACCATTGTCAAAGGGATAGACAAGTCCGGAGAGGGAGCAATAAGATGTAGTGCGACTACAGGTGATAAAGTAGTCAATCCAGGTTAAGAACGTGACGAGAATGTAGGTGTCAAAGCAATCAAGAACGAGGGGAAGACTGGTGAGATAGCAAGTGTAGTCGTCAAGCCAAGGGTAAAGAGGAAGGAATTAAAGTGCTACCAGTACAAGGTGCCTCACAAGGTGCGGAGGTGACCAAATCGAACCAACCACTCCAGGGGGAAAGACCAGGCTGAGGATAATGAACATGCAAGACTTGGTGTGATAAGGTTTTTTCTACCAAAGCGAGTGGTAACCTAATGCAGAAAGGGATAGCCATGTCGAAGGAGGCTGGAGAGCTCACTGAGCATGTTCAAGCGGAGAAGAACAAGGCTTCAAAGACCATAAATAGAGAAGGGTCAAAAGGAGCTAAGCCAAGGAGGGACAAGGTAACCGTAGAACCACCAATGGGCAAGGTGAGAAATAAGCAAATGACTTCGAGTAAGAAATACCAACACAATAGAAGGAAACAAACTTCTAGAAAGAATAGTTGGGGTAACAAGGGAGTATTTAACTTCAGAAAGAAATGTTCGATGCATGGAGTGTCAGACTTCATAGAGAAAGAAGAGATGACACATTTTAGAGGAAATGCAATAGAAAGGGAGGTACATCTCGAACATAATTCTAGTGTTTTTTATTTTGATTTGTCATCTTTAATAAGTATAGGTGTTGAGTAACCTAACCATCCATGTGGAACTTACTTAGTCACAGAGAAGACCTAGAAGTGTCAAGAAGCGTTTAAGGTCATACTTTTCGTTAGACCTTAACTCTGATATTGCAATAGTTTGGGCTGGAAGGTTCTGAGGGTGTGACACTAGCATCAAGGAGATGCCACAAATCCAAGATAAAGCAAAACTAGATACCCACACCAACTTTGATTTATGAATTAGGGGTTGAAACCACCTAATAGAAATGCCCAAATCCAAACAAGATAGCATGAAACAATAGATTAAGATATAATTAATTTTTATTTAGTGGTTAATTGAAACTAAATAAGAGATTAAGATTTAATTAATTTAATTTTAAATTTGACAAAAATAATTAAAAAAACATATGTGGTTTAAAATATAAATCCAAAATTTGATCAAACGTTTAATGAGATAAAAAAATAGATCTCTCAACCAAGATCATAAATAATTTTTTAATTAACTAATTTCTAATGCATAACTTTTAATTTTAAAATTTGATTTGAAAAGTAATGAAGAATTAATCCGTACCTAATTTATAATGCATAACTTTAGATATTATTAGGGAATCATATTCTATATGATTAATTTATTTTTTGAAAATAAATTCAAATAATTTCATTCTTAATAATTTGCCATCACAAGAAATTAGACACACTAAATTATCAATTTTGAAGGCAATTACTAACCACATTAATAACTGTGCTAGAATTTTTAAATACAAAAGTGAGAAGTAGAATTTTTATTTTGCACGAATAGAGTGACCTCCTCAATAGTAAATGAATTATTGTTATTCTTTAAGGTTCTGAGTTCGAGCACCAAGAGTAACAGGGGTATGAGCCTTCATTGTCAAAGGATTGAGATTTATCTTTAAACAGATACTATCTTGTATCTACCCATGTTAATAAAAAAACTTAATAAATACAAAAACTAACTATTTAATAATTTATTAGGATTGAATACATATAATATATGCTAGTATTGTCTAATTAAATGAGTTTGAAACATTGATAAATTGAATGAATCCAAATTCAAAGTGATGTATCCCAACAATAATATATATATATATATATATATATATATATATGCTAGTATTGTCTAATTAAATGAGAACTAAGATTCTATTATGAACCCTCTTCAAAATTAACATATACAGTAATATTTCCATTTTTCAACAAAAGTATAAAGGAGTTATTAGTTAATATTGTTTTTTAACAAATACTATCATTTATTTTTTTAAAGTAGTTTTGCATGCTTGAAAAATAAACACATGTAAAATGATACAAAGACTTGAGCCTCATTAAAAAAAAACCTCCTTAATCCTATTTGGAAGAAAAAAGTACACCATGTCAATGTTACATCTCAAGCTTTTACTCATAATGTGATACACATACTGCACATAAACATTCACACCAGAACGTAACATGACCAAACAAAGCTCAAGAACTACACATTCCATCCCTTGGACAAACATTCACACCATGACATCCATTCAATATCTACTACCCACTCACTCGATCAAAGAACATTCAGACCACTGGTGCGCCTCGCCTCCAACCCTTCCTCGACAGACTTGGACAGCACACGACCAACCAGAAGACCATTGCAACTAACCATCAACTTCATCTCTCTCCACTCAACATTCACATCAGTAATCTCAAAATCAAAAAACAAATCTCCAAGGACACACGACATCTCCAAAAATCGCCATTCCTAGAAACCGACTAGCTAGAATCAACCAACTTAAAGAAATTCTGCAATTAAATTACTATATCAACACTCCTAGCAAAACACAATACCCATGCAACCCACGCTAAACCATAGTCACATGGATCGCGGTACATTCCAGTATGGGAACGTGGAACGGGATCGCCATTCGCTAGGTCCCTAAAATTCGGTACGATGGGTAGACTCATTTCGGATCGCTCCGGTACGATGTACCATATAAATTGGTACGATGTACCAGTTTCTTAGGTTGTTATTTTTCTACATCAAATTTTATAAGTAACTTTAAGACTTCAAATATCTTAGAGTAACTTCAATACTATAGATTTCATTCAGTAACTTCAATACTTCAAAGTTCAAAACAAATTTAACACTTCAAAAGTCAAAAGACTCAAAACAAATTACATAAACTCATAAAGTCATGAATAAACTTAAAACTTTAAAAGACATGATAAAATTAATAAAATTACTCCACCCTTTGATTTTTTTCCTTTTCCATTATCGTTGTCTTCATCCTCCTCCAGATCTTCCCACACCATATCTTCTATCCTTGAGCTTTCCAAGTTTGTAGATTCGGGATCCATATCCCACTTCTTGTGTGGTCCTTCTTTATATGCTTCAGAAAACCTTGAACTCAAGCGGATATTAGAATGAACATAAACAAGTTTGTCCGCCCTTTTACAGTTAAGTTGATTCCTCTTCACACTATGAATGTAGGAATAGGTGCTCCAATTTCTTTCGGCTGAAGAACTGCTTATAGGTTGTCACAAGCTTTTTTTCACCACTTCAGCTAATTCTGGTGTTTCTGCGCCATAAGTAGACCACCAGTCAATTGCTTCCATAGTAACCGCATCCAATTAAGCTGCAGGTAATGAATAAAGACCCTTTTACATGTAAAACGTGGCAAATTGTTCTCGTAACATCCGTTCCTCGTCTCTATTTTCAGCAATGCGACTAAAAGCTTCCATGACACCTTGTACAACCTCTTTATCAAGGTTAGGTGCTTTTTTTCGTATGCCACCCGGTGCTAACGTTTCAAGAAAACGTGTGTCATAAAATCTAGGACTTAAAGCAAATCCCAAACAATGCAAAGGTATGTTCATTTTCTCCCATCTTTTCAATAGAATTTGTTCTACTTGAGGGAAATAAGATGCATTTATACTTTCCTTCATCAAGTCTTTGATTTCTTTAATCATATTATCCTTCTTGTCATATATTTTGCCCATTTTTGGGCCTTCACCATCGCAAAACTTCACCATCAAGAAAATAGGCTTTGTGATTTTTAGAATGTTTTCAACTTCGTTCCAAAAATCATCATCTCTGATAGTGTACACAACAAGCTGTGCAATAGTTCTAGTATGTTCATCGCCTTTTTTTGCCCAATCTCTCCATGAATTTAGAGCAATTGTTGTTGAAAGGGCCTCTCTACAAGTGTTTAACCTCTTCAACAAAATGTAGTGAGAGGCAAAATGGATTTTTGCAATCTTTAGTAGCTCTAACTTAGAATTATCTCTAAAAATGGATAAAGCTTGTCCATGGTTCAAAAAATATTTGACAATCATTTTACCTTTTTTATATGTATCCTCTAGCCAAATAAAATCATTTGCAAGGTCTTTAAAAATCAGGTTTAATGTATGCACACAACATGGTGACAAAAAAATATGCTTGTATACCTTTTCGATTTCCTTTCCCGCAAGTTTGCAATTGGTTGCGTTGTGATGACACTGAGAACATTACTTGGGCCGATAGATTCAATTGCTTGGATAAAAAATTCAACAATTGCTTTTCCAGTTTTCTCCACCCCATAAAAATCTTTGGCATACATGAACATAAAACCACGATTGTTCATAGCAAGAACATTGATTAAGGGTTTTTGTTTGATGTTTGTCAACCCATCAGATATAATAGAAAGACCTTGTGAGTGCCATGTATCTTTAAATGGTGTTAGGTCCTTCTCCATATCTCTAACACATTCATCTAGTAGAACGGTTCTTGCTTTCTCGCTAGATGGCGCTTTATAACCTTCATATGCCTTTCTTATTGCATTTATCATTTCACGAAATTATGGATTACGCAAAACGTTAAACGGGATCCCGTTTGCACACAAAGCCCTCACGATTTTTAAATCTACCGCGCTTCTCTCCATTATAGAAAAAGATTGCTCTAACGGTTTTTTAGAGCTTAAATTCTGTCTTTTTGTAACTATAGAGCTTTTTAACGACTTACAAACTCCTAGCTTTTCGGCATCTTTCATCCTCTTTTGTAACCGTTCATAAGTGTCTCGACCTTTCGCTACAACATGACATCTTCTAATTTCAGCCTTTTTTCCCAATGGGGCTCCAAAGAAGTGCACATGAATTCTAGTGTACGAACTTGTATACTTTCCTTTACAGTGATTGCAAATCCACTGTTTAGCACCTCCTGCATTCTTTCTATTTCATGCACCAATGAAGGTTACTTCATCAAAGAGTGGCTTAACAGGATCATTCTCTTCGATTACTTTTTCTGCATGACTGCCACTGCCCTCATTTGCTGCTGTTGTTTGTTGTACATCATCATTAAGGTCAATGTAACCTTGTGTCTCACTGATTCCAATCTCGTTCTCATCATACTCACTATCTCTTCGAGGATTCTGGCCAAATACCATTGCAGATTTGCAGTGATAAAAAACAAAAATTAAAAAAGAAAAGAAGAGCTTGTGGCTTAGTGAAGGAAATTGAAAGGCCTCTCCATAATTTATGTTAAAGGAAAAAAAAAAGAAAACAAACCCAGTTGTCTAGCACCCAGACAAGAAACAAAGCGCCAACCAAAGTAAAGTACACAACAAACAAAGCAGGAAAAGAAATAAAAAACAAAAGCTCAACCGGCACAAACTCTCTCTGTAGGAGACGATGAACACCACGTGCGACAAGCAGATAGATATAACATTTTAATAATATTGAATTTTAGAGGGATCAAAAAGTAAAAGGATTAATCTCTAAATTTGAGTAGAATAGAGGATCTAAAATCAAAATTAGACCAAAACTAAATGAAATATATTTTATATAAAAACCAAGCTCTTCCCACTTCCATTTTCAATTTTACATCTCTCTATTTATCCTTTCTAGTTTATCTTCTCTCCATAATCGAAGATGCGTGAGATCCTTCACATTCAAGGTGGCTAGTGCGGCAACCAAATCAGAGCCAAGTTTTGGGAGGTGGTTTGTGTTGAGCACGGTATAGATCCAACCGGTCATTACCAAGGAGACCAAGATCTTCAGCTCGAGAGAATCAATGTCTACTACAACGATGATGGGCTCTTACAGCTCCGGTGAGACCACAATGACAACACCTAAGGTAAGTTTCAGTTTTTGTTTCTTTTTCTCTTTTGTTTTTCCTTTTTGTCTTTCAATTTTCCCCTAAAAACTCACTGTTTTTTTTTCTGGTTTCCCCTCTCACTCTTCTTCTCCTCTGATTTTCTCTCTCTCAAACCCCCAATCTCTTTATTTTTCTAATTGCATCTCCTCTTATCCCTGTTGCAGAACTATAATGTACTGAATCACGATTTTGAAACGATCTGAATGCGTTCGTACCGCGTTTTGGATCGCAACGTTCAGTACGTAGATCGTGGGCTATTGAGTGATTTATGTAACTATGCAATGCTTGGAATTGCATATGACAATCAACTTTTGCACCAGACACCAAGCCTGGACATAGCAAACTCGAACAACTTATTCTCACAATAAGATTTTCCATTAAACAAGATTTCATTTCTATATAACCATATAGACCAGAAAAAACAAAAAAAAAGCCAACTTCCAAATCGGTTTTAAACCATTTTTGATCGGTTGGTGTCGACATCGTTTTTCACCCGGGTGAAAAAAATTAGTACGACTTGGGGATTTTTCTTTAAAAGGATTTTGAAATGTGAGGAGTCGCCAACAATCATTTTAAGGTACGATCGCACACCATAAAAATCATGTGACTTTAGTAAAACATTTTATTTTTATTAAAATACCAAGTTTAGGGTCTACAAAAACCAAAAAATAGGTTTGAAAGTTAATTACGCGTGGGGAAGGAATAGTATCCCACAATGCTCGAAAATTGGTACCTAGTTGATTACCCTATAGTTAAAATTGAAAATTTTAAGTTCGAACTTCATCTAATTTAAAAATCAGTACTGATGCAAAGTTGAAAAGGGTATTTTTTTTATTAAAGCCAATAGCATTCGCCCCTAGCATGAATGCGGGAGATCAGCTATTGTGCCCAATAATAAGACTTTGCCTCGATATTTTATAAATCATGATGTGGTCTTGAAAAGGATGAAAACCTATTTCGGGAATCACCAGTAGTCACCCCCTGAGCATACTTGGGGGAGATATATTATTGACTCCCTAATAAGTGAACATTGTCTTAAGTTTTAAAACATAATGCAATCAAACAATTTATTATTAACCCTAATTAAACTAAGGGTAGATTTAGGCTTTCTTTATCTTAAGGTTTCAAATTATGAAAATTAAAGAACGTAGAGGCCCAAACCTAAAGATGTTGAATCGAATAATCGATATGGTCCCTTGATCATTTAGGCGAGGGTCAACTCAGATTACTTACTAAATTAAAGGGACTAAATTGAAATCTAATCTAAAGTGGAGGCTCTAATACTAAAATTAATTTTAATCAATATTACAATTCGAATAATTACAGTGGAACCTCAAGCAAAAGCGATGACCAAATTAAGAATTCTGCTAATTTAAGGATTAAGTATCAAATTAGGCCTAAGTAGGGAGGCTCTAATATTAACTTAAGTTAATTTTAATCAATTATTGACTATCGAGTAATTAATTCGGAATCTCGAGCATAAGTAGGGACCAAATAAAAAATTCTCCTATGTTAAAAGTTTAGGGACTAAATTTAAATGAGTCTAAATTTAAGGAATAGACATAAAATCTAAGTAATCTAGATTAGTACTAAAATATTCTAAATCTAAATCAAAAGGTTTAATTTCAAACCTAAAATTCTAAGGCTAGATTAAAGAAACTAAAATTAAAGACAAAAATTAAAAGCAATTAATGAATACATAAATGACTAAATTAAAATAAATAATAAAAATTCAAAGCTGAAATTAAAACATTAAGTAGAGGGTTAAAATGAAAGAAATTAGAACATAAAACTTAAATTAAGACAGTGCAAAAAATTAAAAGTTGGAATTGAAATGACTAAAATGTAAACAATTAATAATTTTAAGCAAAAATTAAAATAACATAATTTGAAAGGGGCAAAGTTAAAATAACCGTTATTAAACAATCGAATATTAAATTAGAAGTTAGGGGGTTAATTTTTAATTGTTACTCAAACCATAAATAATGCAAATCATACCCCAAGGCAAGTTATCTCGAGGTCGTATTAACATTCGAATATTTAAAAGCAATAATAATTCAAGAGTCAGTCACCAATATAAAATAAAATAAATAAGCAATCTAATTTTAAAATAAACATAATAATTTGTGTGGTGACTAAATTAAAAATAAACAGAAAAGCATGCCAATTTCAAAATAATGAAAAAGATAGGAATAAGTGACCAGAATGAAAGAAAATAAAAAAATAATAGCTAATTCAAAATAAGTTAAACACAAACAAGTGGCTAAAATAAAAACTAGTAAAATTAGAGCATCATATTCAAATAATAAAATAAATAAAGAAATGGTGGCTATTTTGGAAAAATACAACAATACTAAAGAGACCTGAAAGCAAATAAACCAAAAATTAGTATTAAAACACAAAAGTCGAAAATAGCAAGACAATGACACTAAATTAAAAAAATAAAGGAAATATATTGAAATTGGGGACCAAATTGAACATAGGTGAAAATAGAGAGGACTGAGCACGTGATTAAACCACTGAGACCTAAACACGTATGGTGGCCAAAACAACGCTGTTTTGCTTAGGGTATAAATATCCTTTATCATTTTTTTTTTCATTTTTCTTTCATTTATTTTCGTCTTTTTTTAGAGAGAGAAGCTCTCTCTTCTCTCTAAGCCTCCCTATAATCTGGCAAGAATCCAGCAGCCAGTCTCCGTGTCTTCATCATCGTCGTCTTCGGTCGTTCGGACCTAAATTTCATGGGATGGCTTTCCTCGATGCGGTGGTCACATATCTGGGCTTGTTTTCACCAGAGCTGGTCTCTAACACTATGAAACAATGCCTAGACACTTCGACTTTCACTGCCCCGATATACTCTGACAGCCGTTGGATTGAGGTGGGTTTGAAGTATGTGGTTCCCCTCCTCTGTGCGCTTCTCTTTACCGTTCGAATTCATCAATTGTGACTCCAAACGCTGGCGAGTCCTTGGCCGAGAGGTAAAATTCCTTAATTCTTCTTCTTTTCATTTTTTTGTTCTTGTTTGGTTAACTTTAATGAATAGAAAAATGAAAAATGCTTGCTTGGTTCGAATGGGTTGTTTTTGTTGCTTTGAAGTATTTCTGTATATGAAAAAAACCTTATGTTTTATTTCTCTATTTATTACTTCGAATACATGGGCCATCCCCCTTTTACATATTTTTGTGTGGACTTATATAGAACCTATATTAGATCTTTAAAAAGAGAAAGTTACATTTTTTTTCTTCTCTTGTTGCTCTGCTTGTGACTGTTGTAGATGAGTTGGGATTTGGTGGCACAGTGACCGGCTTAGAGGCTGCTGGATAGCTTGCTGATGGCAGTAACAGTAACTAGGGCATTGAATGTCCCATTTATTCAGGGATTACCCTTTTTCTTTATTTTATTTATTTTTATATTTATTATTTTTTGGAATAAAAAATGATGATTAGAGTTGGTTGTCCCATGCCCAAATAAACTTTTTGATATTACTAGGAACAACAAACTTATTCCGGTGAATACACCATCTTTCCCACACTTTCCATACAACCTTGCAATAACAAAACAAGTGAACAATGGACTTTTCCTCCTCACTGTGCAACACACAAGACACAAGTGAATGCACTTCAGTCCAATAATCCTCCCAAAAATCAATGGACTTCTCATCCCCAACCACACACCAGGAATTTTGAGTGAAATTGT